GCTGCTGCTGCTGCTGCTGCTGCTGCTGCTGCTGCTGCTACTACTACTACTACTACTACTACTACTACTGCTGCTGCTGCTGCTGCTGCTGCTGCTACTGTGCTGCCGCTGCTGCTGCTGCTGCTGCTGCTGCTGCTGAGGGGGTACGGCTTGGCGCTGCGGTGTACGTACACCTCAGGGGCGCGCAGTGCTGCGGGGCTGCTTCGCGGGGGGGCAGCAAGAAATAAATTGTTCAACTTTGCAAATGTGCATTTTATATTTGTTCAACTGCAACAAGTCCTTGACAGCAAAAGAAACGCTTCAGAAACTCGACGCAGCAGCAGCAGCAGCAGCAGCAGCAGCAGCAGCAGATCCCGCCGCTGCAGCGGCAGCCAGTGCTGCAGCAGCAGAAATCAAAAGGCATCTGCTTTCCCTCTGCACCTCCAAGTGCAGGTGAGGCTTTATTTTATTATTTATTATTTATTATTTATTATTTATTTATTTATTATTTATTATTTAGTATTTATTATTTATTTATTATTTATTTATTTATTTATTCATTTATTTAGTATTTATTATTGTTATTTATCGTTTATTTATTTATTTATTTAGTTGTTTATTTATTTATTTAGTTATCTATCTGTTTAGTTAGTTATTTATTATTTGTGTATTTGTTTATTATTTATCTATTTATCTATTTATCTGTTTATTTATTTATTTGTTTATTATTTATTTATTTTTTATTTTATTTTATTTTATTTTATTTTATTTTATTTTTTTTTGCAGAATTTTGAACCGACGCCGTAGTGACGGCCAAATGCCCACAAAGGAGCTTCAAGATGAAGACATTTTAGAAGTACTTTTTGTTTTATTTATTTATTTATTTATTTTTTATTTATTATTTGTTTATTATTTGATTAATTATTTATTATTTATTTATTTGTTTATTATTTATTTATTTATTTATTTTTTTATGTATTTATTTATTTGTTATTTGTTTATTTGTCATTTATATTATTTATTATTGATTTATTTAATTACTATTTATTTATTATTCATTTGTTAGTTCATTAATCATATAGTTATTATTTATTATCTATTCATTTATTTACTATTTATTTATTATTTGTTTGTTTATTGACTACATTATTATTTATTGTTTGTTTATGTATTATTATTTATTTACTATTTATCTATTTACTATTTATTTGTTTACTATTTATTTACCATTTAATTATTGTTTATGTGCTTGTTTGTTTATTAATTGCATGATTGTTGGCTATTTATTATTTATTTATTTGTTTATTTGTTCATTTATTGTTTACTATTTATTATTTATTTATTTGCAATTTATTTATTTATTATTTATTTATTTATTTATTTATTTATTTGTTTTAATATAATTCTTTCTTCACTTCTTTGTTTGCTTGTTTGTTCAGTACACCTCGCATTATTCGCTAATAAGTAAATAAATAATAAATAAATAAACAAACAAACAAATAAACAAATAATAAACAAACAATAAATAAAATAAATAAATAAATAAATAAATAAATAAATAAAAATAAATGAACAAAAAGATTTGTCAAGTGTCGAAGCCAGCGCTGCGGTGTCTGTACAGCTGGAGCAGTTTGGCTGTGGAGGAATTTTTTCGTTTTTTTCGATTTTTTTCATTTTTGGGTCATTTTGAGGACTTTTTGGAGGATTTTGAATTAGTTTTTGAACTTGGGAAGTATTTTTTGATTCTGGATTCATTTCCGTCGTCAAAAATGCTTTTTTCCGGCTTTTTTAGGTCAATTCCGACTTCCACTCGCCCCACTTTTGCGTCAAAGTGCCTCTTCTTTCCCCCTTTTCTTCCGGCCTCCAACTCGAACTCCAGGCCGGCCCGGACGTCCCCGCCAGCGTCGAGCTCGACAGAAACCATTTGTAATTATTTATTTATTTATTTATTATTTATTTTTATTTATTTATTTATTTATTTATTTATTTATTTATTTATTTATTTATTGTTTATTTGTTTGTTTATTTGTTGTTGTTTGTTTGTTTGTTTATTATTGATTGTTTGTTTCGTTTGCTGCTTTGTTCCGGTTCTTGTTCTGTCTTTTTTGTTCTTTTGTGTCTTTTGTTCTTTTCTTTCTTTAATTTTTTGTTTCTTTTATTCTGTGATTTCATTTATTGTTTTATTCTTTTATTTGTTTTATTCTTTTATTTGTTTTGTTCTTTATTTCTTTTATTCTTTTGTTTGTTTTATTCTCTTATTTGTTCCATTCTTTTATTTGTTTTATTCTTTTATTTCTTTTGTTTCTGTTATTTGCTTTGTTTGTTTTATTCTTTTATTTGTTTTATTCTTTTAAACCCAACGTGCAGTGGGCGACAAAATAATTATTATTTGAATTAATATAATTACATAAATAGAAATCCAAATTCTTTGAATTATTATAATATAATTATTGCTAATTATTATTATTATTTACTATTATTATTATTATTATTATTATTATTATTATCCTTATCATTATTATTACTATTACTATTATTATTATTATTATTATTATTATTATTATTATTATTATTATATTATCATTATCATTATTATTACTATTACTATTATTATTATTATTATTATTATTATTATTATTATTATTATTATTATTATTATTTTATTATTGTCTTATTATTTCTCAGGGTAGAAGCAGCAATAGTGAGGGCCCTGAAGAGCAAGCAGCAAATGCTGCATGCAGATTTGGTGACTGAGGTGTCTGTACACCTCGCGCCCCGCTTCGCGCCCTCCGCCGCTCTCATAAAAAACAGAATTGAAGCTTTAATAGAAAGAGAATACATTCAGAGAGGGCCCAAAGACATGTAAGTTTAATTAATTAATTAATTAATTAATTAATTTAATTAATTAATTAATTAATTAATTAAATTAATTAATTTGATCCGCTACTTTCCCGTGCGGCTGCTGCAGGCGGATGTACACCTACGTGGCCTAGAGCCCACAGGCCGCTGGGGACGCGCTGCTGCTAGGGTTTAGGGTTTAGGGTTTAGGGTTTGGGGTTTAGGGTTTAGCGTTTAGGGTTTAGGGTTTGGGGTTTGGGCTGGGCGTCGGGAAGGTGTCATGACGATGTGTTTATTCGGGTGTCACTACACCCCAACGCTGGGCGCGAAGGAGGCGAAACAGCAGCAGCAGCAGCTGCAGCAGCAGCAGCAGCAGCAGCAGCAGCAGCAGCTGCAGCAGCAGTTGTCTCCTTCGGGTTGCGTTGCCGTCCGCGTTTGTGTTTTGAGTTGGGATTAGTTGAGTGTTAGTTGAAAAGTGGAATTAAAAGAAAATAAAAATAAAATAAATGAATTAATTAACAAATCCAGTTAGTTATTTGCTTCGCAGCAGCAGTTGGAGTGGGTCTTTGCTTCTTCGGGTGTATCGACACTTTTCTAATCGGAGTCCTGAATTGCTGGGGTGTATGTACACCGGAAATGCATGCATGCGCGTATACTGGATTTGCGGTGTACGTACACTCGCGGCCTCTGCGTGCATGCAGCGGATGTTTTTGTGTTTATATTTGCATGCATTTATATATATATTGATATATATTTGTGTATATTTATATATATTTATATATATTTATATATATAAGTATTTATTATGTATATTTATATGTACTTATATATGTCTTTTGCGCAATTTCACACTTCCGAGTCTTCCAATTTGCACATTTGTTTCTTTTTCCGCATTTTGCATTATTTAATTTGCTTTCTTTTCTGGAGTTAATCGAAAAGACAAAAGCGAAAACATTTCCGAGAAAAGTCGCAAAAAGAATTCCACTTTTGGAAGTGCTTTTCTGCAAAGCAGCCGCAGTCTGGGGTGTACGTACACCGCGCCGCAGGGCTGGCGCAGCCGCAAATGCGCAAATTTGATTTCTTTTCATTTATATTTATTTCCGAAGTTTCCGACTGCATTTAAAAAGCAAAACATTCTGAAATTAAACGCATGCATGCAAGTTCTGCCTTTGCATTTATAAAACGCCACGAAGTTGAAGTGCATGCATGCAGGTGTACGTACACCTGAGCCCCCAGCGCGCCAGTCCACACGCATGCGAATTGAAAGATCATAATTCGATTTGTTGAATAATTCGGATTTATAATTTTAAATTCGCATTTATAATTTCAATTCTTGTGATTTCGAGGCCAACTGCAAGTAGAATTGAGGTGTATGTACACTTCGGGGCCCCAGCGGCATGCAGCGTTTGCCCTGCCCTTTTCTTGCGGAGTTTCTTTTTGTCTTTTTCTTCTTTTTTCTTTATCTTTTTCTTTTGTTCTTTCTTTCATTCTTTTGTTCTTTTCTTCATTCTTTTTTCCTTCCATTCTTTGTTCTTTTCTCGGTCTTTTTGCTTTCGCCAGCTGCTGCATGCGACGGGGCACTTCTAGTTAGCTATTTGAGCTCGGGAAATAAAAAAAAATTCTGAAACTCCAAATGCATTAAAACGCATGCATGCGCGTCTCCAGGTGTACGTACACCTCGCCTCCACGTACACTGGACCATGTTTGTGGGTCTTTAAATGCCTCATTTCGGACTGAGGGCGAAAATAAGTGGCAAATAAGTTGCAAATAAATGTTTATTTCCTTTATAATGCCTTTAAGTCCAAAAGAATAAAAAGTAAATAATTAAACTCCGCATGCGCGCATGCAAGTGTCTCTGAAGGTGCATTTGTGAAGTGTAAAGTTCCCAGTTTCAGCCGCAGGCACTTGCCCCTTTTGCAAAAGTAAAAAGCACAAAATAAATGTTTTTAAAAACACTTTTGTGCTTTTAAAGAAGTGACTGGAAGCAGCAAATGCACTGGGCGTGGACTGCATGCAGCAGGTGTCTGTACAGCGCAAGCGCGGGCCCCACAAGAGACTCTGCGGTGTATGTACACCTCAAGTGGTGCATGCGCATGCAAAGTGCCTTTCTGTCTTCTTTAGTTTTGTGGCTTCGCCCCGACTCCTGGTGTATGTACACCCGGCCCCTTTTTGCAGCAGCAAAAGCTGCTGCTGCTGCTGCTGCTGCTGCTGCTGCTGCTGTTGGGGCTGTGCATTCCCTCCTTCCTTCCATAAGGAAGCAGCAACAACAAAGCTAGCACTGCGGTCGTTTGCTGCTCATTTGCTGCCCAGGATGCTCCTCGATTAGGGTTTAGGGTTTAGGGCAAGGGTTTAGGGTTTAGGGCTAGGGTTTAGGGCTAGGGTTTAGGGTTTAGGGCTAGGTATAGGGCTAGGGTTTAGGGCTAGGGTATAGGGCTAGGGTTTAGGGTTTAGGGTTGTTTAGGGTTTGAGAGTGAGAGCAGGAGATGCATGCATTAGCTGAAAAGAAGAAGTTCGACATTATCAGAATTCTCTCTGCTGCAGCTGCTGCAGCTGCTGCAGCTGCTGCAGCTGACTCAAACCGAATCAGAGAGAGATGAAATAAATAAATTCATTAATTAGATATTTATACTTTAGTCTGTCTTTGTGTCTTCACTTTTGCTGCTGCTTGGCGGCGGAGGCGAATGGGCCAGCTTTGCTGCAGTCTGCAGTAGGAAGAAATCAGGGTTTAGGGTTTATTGGGAGGATCGGGGGTTAAAAGGGTTTAGGGTTTAGGAAAACTCGAACAGTAGTGTTGCCAGTTTGGCAGAATTTCCAAAAAATATCAAAAATTATAAAAATGATATAAATAGAGGCTGCAGACTTTGGGAAGTGTTGGCGGTGGACTTCCCCGCAGAGAGGAGGAGCCCTTTTTTCTCTGGAGCTGCGAAACTGGAAGCGACAAGATAATATTTGAAGTTGAGGAATAAATAAAACAAATTGCAGAAGTTTATTTGATTTGAATTCAAAGTTTCACCGAGTTTTCGTCGAGTGGCGAGAAGTGACTGGTCGGATGGCGCAGGTGTACGTACACCTGGGAAACCCGCGAGTCAAGGCCAACTCCGTCGCCGTTTCACGCAACGCCACTTCTCTTTATTTGCAAATTTTGTGGGGGAAACTGTTGAAATGAGTTTTATGAGAAGTCTAAAAGGGAAAAGGGGAGAATGAACAAGTGCAGAAGGAGGACCCGGTGGCGGTCAATCCTGCGCAGCGGCTCGCGGCGGCGAAAGCTGCAAATGCATCCAAAGGCAGATCTGCTGCAGAGAAAGCTGGACTTTTGAGTTTCGTTTATTTTTGTTTATTTATTTTCAAAAGAATTAATTCAAAATACCGAGACGAAACCGCAGAAGAAGCGGCTCGCCGGACGGCCGCTGGACTTGCGGGCGCGGCGAGTGGACCGTTGCAACTTGAGCCGATCTTCCGGGTTTTTCCTCGCTTTTTGGATTTTTAAAACAAGTAAACAAATTCAAAATGCAAAAAAATGTAATTGCGCTTTTAAAATGCACAAAAGAAGCCCCTTTGGCCTCGAAAAGGGGAAGTCCGCAGCAGGGCCTTCCGCGGTGGCCACAGCGCCGGAAGCTGCTGCTGCTGCTGCCCGTCTGCTGCTGCTGCTGCGCGGAAAAGCTGCAGCTGCGCGTCTTGGGCCCTTTATTATCTTCAAAAGGTCCTTTTTTTTGTTTTCTCCGTGGCTTCTTTTTGCTTCATTTGGCTGAAATTGCAGAAAAAGGAGAAGTTTCCTCGGGCCCGCAGCAGCAGCAGCAGCAGCAGCAGCAAAGCGGCTCGACTGCAGCAGCACATGCACTGAAGTTCAGGCAAACAAACCAGCTCCTTTCCCGGGCTTTCTTTCGCGGGCTTTTCTTGCAATCTGCAGGGCAAAAAGGATCGGATTCGCCCTGCTGCTGCTGCTGCTGCTGCTGCTGCTGCTGCTGCTGCTGCGCCCAGCTTGCTGCAGACCCTGCGAGTCCCGGGAACCCTCAGCAGCAGCAGCAGCAGCGCAGGCAGCTGCATGCGCTGCAGATGGAGGTGCCGGCCTACGCGGGCAAGGGGGCCCCCGGGGGGCCCCCCGAAGGCTTCGCGGCTGCTGCAGCAGCAGCAGCAGCAGCAGCACGCAGCAGCAAAGATCAGGTGGGGGGGAAAGTCCCCCAGTACTTTTCTCTCCGCGGCAGCAACGCCTTGAGGGGCGGCCGCAGGACTTACAACGCCATGTGCCTCAACGACAACTGGTGAGGGTTTAGGGTTTAGGGTTTAGGGTTTAGGGTTTAGGGTTTAGGGTTTAGGGTTTGGGCTTCCCCGGGTGCAGGGCCCCCAGGCCGAGCTGCAGGGTTCAGAGGGCGCGGGCCAGCGCCTAGGGTTTAGGGTTTAGGGTTTAGGGTTTAGGGTTTGTGGCTGCGCAGGTACGAAGACCGTTTGAACCCGGAGCTGGCCCCGCAGCTGCAGCAGCTTGCTGCAGCAGAGCAGCAGCAGCAGGGGCCCTTCGGGCCCTGGGCCTCGGAGTACACTGTGGCCTATTCGCGGGGCAATTGGAAGTTGCAAAACTTCAAACTTACTGACTCCAACATCCTGGCCATAGACCAGTCTTCGCCGCAGGACTGGACTTCTTGCTACCGAATCGACTACCGGTGAGGCTGCTGCTGCTGCTGCTGCTGCTGCTGCTGCTGCTGCTGCTGCTGGCGGCGGTGGGGGTGCTGCTGCTGCTGCTGGTGCAGGTCGGCGAGGTGCAGCGCGCAGCAGCAGCAGCAGCAGCGGCGTGGTGCCGCAGGCAGCAGCGCAGCAGCAGCTGCGGGCGCTGCAGCAGCTGCTTCCGTGCTTCGCCAGTTTGCTGCTCGCGTGTCTGCTGCTGCAGCACTCGAGCCTCCACGCGCGCCAAACCCTAGCAAACCCTAAACCCTAAACCCTAAACCCCAGAAACCCCAATCCAGGCGGCGGCAGCTCGGGGCAGTTTTCTTTTTCTTTTCTTTTAATTCAGCAATCGGCAGCAAGAAGAAGTGATGGCGCGCATGCAGGAGTTGGAAGAAGAAAAAAGAAAAAGCGAAATGGCAGAAATGAAGCATCGGGCGGCGGCGGAGGCGCGCGTTCCTGCGTGGCCGTTGACTCGAGGTGCGCGTACACCCCAATTTTC